ATAACATGTAAGGTGGCATGGTTATTGTTAAATTTAAACTGTTATATTGTTACTTTTTCAAATAAGTGACATCATTTTTTAGTTTACTGACTTTGTCTCGTTTTATGAAGTATAACTAAAGTCAAGTCTACAAAACTATTAAAGAAATGAAAATTCGCCCTATTTTGTAAATGCATGTTATTGATCTTACTGTGAACAAATTATCCATGCATATTTTTCATTTTCAAAAAATGTTTTGAACTTGTAATGTTTAATTAAGATGTCTTAAACTCAACCTTCTAGTGAAACTAGGAGGATACTAGAATTTAGAAACTAAAATTTAGTTAACTTAAACCCCGCTCCTATACAAACGACTGCAAGCTTGCATTCATTTTTAAATGCAGCAGCCACATCTTAAAATACCCATTAAAACAACTAATGATAAGAAAAAAAGTCCCTGCCCTACATTTTTGTTCCTTTTTCGATAACCCGTTTTACTCTGATGTACATCACAATACGGAAGAAAAGATCTGTCTCTACTTCCGTTTCATTACGACTTTAACCAATGTTAATTGTCAACAACGTGACATTTATGTGTGTCCAGTTTTTTACAATTGTGGTTCCTGTGTAAATACACTTGTCGCATTTAAAAGTCTAAAAAATTTTTACTGTATGTCAGAAAATGCCACAAGGGACAAACTTTGTCCACAGCAAAAACAACACAGTCCAATGTAAATAATGTCTGCAAGAAACTTCCACTCTCAAGGAAAAAGATGGTCTCAGGCTACGTTTACACGACAACGATGTAGTCAAAAACGGAAAAGTTTTTCCCTTGCGTTTTTAAAAAGTTTCACGTATACACAACAACATTTTCAAAACGATTCGCGTTTACACATATCTGCGAAAACGGCCAAAAACGCTGTATTACATATGCCAGGCCAGTAGTTGGCGCTGTCACCTTGTTAGTACAGAACAGTACCTGTAGGGAAGTGATGGTTATATGTTGCACTTTGAAACCTGTTTTCAAAAATATGCGTTTTCAGTCCCCAAAACGCCGTTGTCTTGTAAACGAACAGGCAAAACGCATAAAAAGTTTCCAGTTTTTGGCTGAAAACGTTGTCGTGTAAACGACCCCTCAGTCAGATGATGGTGAAAAAAAGTGATTCAAAAATAATTTAATGCATTCGATTCCTTAAAAAGAAACATACCGTATTGTCCCGAATATAAGATGATGTTTTTTTCTTGGAAATACATCTGAAAAAATATATAGTCTTATATTATATTCAGTCAGTCGTCTTATATTCAGGGTCTAGACTTTGACATGTCAATAATACACCCACAACAATAGATGGCGCCAAATACGCATAAAACGAGTATGCCATGAAATACGTAATGTAATGCGTGTTGTAAAGATCGCGAGTAAAAACAAAAGAATAAGAAAACCTTACAGCTGCATGAGTCGTGACTGTCACGTTAGCCTGATGGGACCAAACTCCCTTTGTGATTTTAAAACGTAAGACAGTACCCAGATTTGAAGACTACAGTAAGATTTAACTTCTACTGTTAATAAGATTTTGGTAGGCTACTATTAGATGGATAGCCTAAATGTCCTAATTCAGATGGGCTACCTGTTTTTTATTATTTTTTTTTTTTTATGGTATATCAAAAAGTGTATATTTTTAAAATGTGATTGTTGGTACATTTTACCAGTTTTTACCATACTTTCAAAACAAAAAATAAAATAGGAAAAATATGCAATATGAAAATTTTTTTTAATGGTATATCAAAAAGTGTATATTTTTTAAATGTGATTTGTTGGTACATTTTACCAGTTTTTATCATACTTTCAAAACAAAAATTAAAATAGGAAAAATATGCAATATGAGAATAATTGAAGACAAAATGTGTTTTAGATTTGTTTTTTAAAAAGCTTTTTTCCAAAAGGTACATCTGGAAAAAGGGGGGTCGTCTTATAATCAGGGTCGTCTTATATTCGGGCCAATACGGTAATTAGTAAAGAGATTGTAACACTTCACATTTAAAAGTAATGTTTTTACTGTATTACTGTCTTTCATCTTTGACCTGCATCTTGTCTTTCTCTTGTGTGCTCTTTTGAACTGCATTTGTGAGAGTCAGGATGGTTGTGTGTGTGTGTCTGAGGAATTTCAGGGATCTGGGTTACACTGAAGTGAAGGCTTCTTTGGCCAGAAGGCAGAATGTGTGGAGTTTGGGGGGATGGGACGTTTGGGAATGTCTTGCATGTTTCTCCTCACTGAGGAGGGAAGTCAGCCATCTGCTCAATACTCCACTGATACACGCAGCTTTGATGACAGATCATGAGATACCTTGACAGACCATGAGACTCTATACCTTTATTTGAATTTAAATTACAGGAACAATTTCTGTAATTTTAGAGTAGGTTTATTTTATTTATTTTTTATATTTCGGTATATATCACCCCACAGATTGTCATATCCATCTTTGACTACAAGGCAACACAATTTATCACAAAACTGAATCATCTTTAACATAATACCAAATTACCTTCAACGTTCTCATTCCAAGTTTTATTTGTCAAATGCACAACAATTGCTGTTGCATTTAGCAGTGAATTGTAACGTCACTTTGAGCATTTATCATTCAGCTGCATCGACTGGATTTCCATTTCTATTTTTTTTTTTTTTTTTTTTTTGGTAAACTCGCCATTTTTATTTTTATGTTAGTTTCACTTCTAGTTTTTGTCAAAAAACTTGCTTCAGAGAACGTGTGTTACTGTTGAAGTTGGGAAATGTGATGATAGCCTTATCTATACCACAAAGCCACTTTCTCAAGTAAAAACTATGTCTGACATGAGTAAAACAGGAACCCTGACTGCCTGCCTGAGTGAGGGGGGGGCAGGATGTCTTCATTTCCAAAGACAAACATAATACACACTACCTTTCAAAAGTTTGGAGTTGGTAAGATTTTTTTCATGTTTTGAAAGAAGCCTCTATCCTTTACCAATATTTTTTGATCGTAAAACAGTAATATTGTAAAATATTTGTACAATTTAAAATAACTGTTATCTATTTGAATATACTTTAAAATGTAATTTATTTCTGTGATGGCAAAGCTGAATTTTCAGCAGCCATCATTACTCCAGTCTTTAGTCTCTAATGAACACACATTCTTTCAGAAATTTTTTTGTGATAAATTTTATTAATCCTTGCTGAATAAAAGTTGTTAGTTTTTTTTACTATCCTACTGACCCCTGTAGTGTACACTGAGTATTTACTTAACATCTGATATTTCACCAATATACAGTTATTCTCACCAGCATTTCTACACTCAAAGAACCAGTAACCGTTCTTCCTTCCAGTTAGATGCATTTCTCTTTCCTTATAAGGTGGAAGATCCTGTTTGATTACTATGACTGTTATTATGTCAAGTAACTCAGTGTGACATTAAATAGTTCATTCTCATTTCCCGTCATTGTAATGTGAACTAGGCTGATAAAAGTGACGTCTTTGACGTTCACTGATATTGTCGGAATCAACCAATCAGAATCAAGGACCGGAACTATCCGTTTTATAAAATTGTTTTTAGCATTTTGCTATATATAGTTATTATACGTGTAAATTGGTCACCGTGATTTTGCCAAGTCAGACATGTTCCTTGATCAATATCTTTTGTTGTTCCTGGAACAACATTACTGTCCAAAAACATAGACATAACCCTATCCCTACCCCTAAACCCAAACCTATATAATTTATCCCAAAAATCAGAGGGAAATGATAGCTGAATAACAAGGGTGGAGAAGCACCTAACCCTTGTTGTAGCCTAAAACTGACAGTTCCTGTAAATTTATCCCTCAATTGTGATTGGTTTATTGGGATGTTGATCCATGAGCATGTTTTACTTTGTGAAATCACGTTCACCGTGTACATTAGCATATTATCTGTGATTCTGCAGTCAAACATTTTTGTAGAATGAAATTGTCAACTTGCATTGCTTAGCTAGTTTCACATCTCTCATATCACTCTGCAAGCTCTTTCCTTTCTCAAATCAATATTCCATGATCACTTATTTTTTAATTACTGAGTAGCCATGTACGTGGGGTAATGTACAGTCAGTTGATCATTATAGCAAAATAAACACCCTCAAAGTGACCTTCTCACCCCGTCTGGGTTTAATTTGCGATAATGACTGGCTTATAGTACATTTATTAAATTGTATATGCTAGTGATAAACACTTCTCTTTTTCCTTCTTTATTTTTAGACTGCAATTTCGCAAGTGTTTTTCCCTGTTAAGTCATTTCCACTAAGAAAAAGACAGCCCTGTCTGTTGCTGATAATGCAAAAATGTTACCACAGTCAAGCTTTCTTAACAGGAAAACATGTGATTTTACTGCATTTCATGTAACTTCCATGTTCGAAGAGTTTGCGAGACTCTTTTGCAATAATGGCAGGGCTAGATGCAGATGCCACATTGCTCATTACTCATTCGCTTTACTTCCTCTTGTAGACAAAAGATCTGGAACAACAGATTTTAAACCAGCATTCATTTCAAACATACATTCAGTAGCACCCGCTGTAGTGAAATCAGTTTTTTTTTTCTTTTTTTCTTTTCTATTAGATTGAAGCGTGTTGGCTATAGCCAAGCATTTATTAAAGTAAACAATCATTAAAAAAATAAATAAGAAGAAACTAATATCAAGCAATTGGACAAAAAAGAATAGAACAAAGACAAGAAGAAATTAAATTGACACAGTGTTAAGTTCTTCATCAGGAAGGTCTATTTACATAACTTGATGTGGTCTTATACTTCCCCAAACTATGAAAACACCTGGTCTAAAGTGTAGCAAACATGCCAGCGATAAATAGTAAATTGATAAATATATCATAAAGGTGACATCCTGGTCTCTTCACATTCATGCAGAAGTACAGACGAGTATAACCTGTTGAGCCATTTATCATAACTTTCACCTTGATTGAATCTTGAGTCAATATTTAGTCTCATCCTGGTTCCGCTCTCTTCACAGGTGCTCTGACGAAGGTGAAGGACGGCCAGAAGCATGTAGAGGAAGGGAAGATGGAGGGCCAGCAGGCAGATGGGATCAGGGAACGCTGCAATATCATCTCTTTCGCCACACTGGCTGAGATCCAGCACTTCCATCAGACTCGAGTACGGGACTTCAAGTCCCAGATGCAACATTACCTACAGCAACAGATCAGCTTCTTCCAGAAGGTCACAGGCAAGCTGGAGGAGGCACTGCAGAAGTATGACAATGCCTAAATGAACCCTGTTCGGATTGGATCAACAGAGCTTCACCTTGCCTGGCAGAGAGCCAGGCGCGAATTAGCCAGCCCCTAGCAATATACGACAAACCAAGAGTCTAAAATTTATGAAATCTATCCCCATACAATGAATGTCCATTATAAGGAACTGAAGATTGTTTGGGGCAAGTATATAGTGAGTTTGGACTGTGTTTTCCACTGTGAAACTAACAAGGAAAACAGAGACACGAGAACAGAGAGCGTCGAATGTCTTCGATCCTGCTACTAATGTCATATTTTAAACATGTTCTTCACACGGATGAATGAGATATTGATATGACTCGAGGAGCTTGCGTGGCTCCTTAAACACTCGAGACCCTCTTAGCCGCTCTTAGATGTTTACAGACCCAACAGAGCCACTGTCTTCACTGTTGTGCCTTTCAATCTTGTCTCGTTGGTATTTTTATCATTTCATAAAAAGAACTATATATTATTCTTATTCCGAGATTTGTTTTTATGAGGTTTGATTTTATTATCTTATACAAATGTCACTCCTGCTTAAAATGGCAGGCAAAGGAGTAGCTGGCTCGTGTTTGGAGATGAGAGTGGGAGTAGCTGGACATAATGCCCAAATTTGGTATCCCGTCTGATTTATTTCCCCTTCCCCTCCCCATGATATTTTTATTCCAGTGCAAAACAGAATGTGCATTTGAGAGAAAAAACAGTAGCCGTCGTCAGATCACCTGCCGTCACAATTGAGCAGGAGCCTAAAAATATGTTCAAATGTGATGTAAACAGGAAGCACAACAGACTCAGGATAACAAGTTCATTTTGGACATCATTTTTTCAGACATAATACTCAAAACTAAAGTTCCCAAGGTGCTCAGAGAATCCAGTTTATTTTCTACTGCACATTTTTACTTCTCATTGTGCAGGATAAACCACACCTAGATGTCCTGAATTGTTAAAGATTCCAAATAAACTGCTCACTTAACTGCTTGTTGCATTGAATCTATTTTTGTATTGTATGCGTTTTGAGCTAGGCATTTCAAACAGATTTCCTAAAAGAGCACATTTCATTCTTCACCTGTTTTTTCTCTTTCCCTGGTTTATCGAGTATATATGACCAATATTGACGCAGTTTCAGTGCAAACGTGAGTGTTGTGTCAAAGGGAGGAAAGCTTTTAAAAACGCATCTTCTTACTGGTGTTGCTGCATGAAATGTGAAAATGGATGCAGATGTTTATGTCAACACTATCATGAGGTTTGGCTGAAAAGATATTTCCACCTTGTACATGATGATAATAATGATAGAAACTTGTGATTGTTCATTTGCATCAGCAATAAAGAACATTCTTTTTAAAGTGAAGTGATGTGTAGCCATGTATGGTGACCCATACTCGGAATTTGTGCTCTGCATTTAACCCATCCAAGTGCACACACACAGTAGTGAACACACACACACCCAGAGCAGTGGGCAGCCATATTGCTGCAGCACCCGGGGAGCAGTTGGGGGTTTGGTGCCTTGCTCAAGGGTCTCACCTCAGTCGTGGAAGAGAGTGCTGGTTATTCGTGGACTTAATGGTCATTTACCATCTACTCATTTGATGCTGTTTGGAGTATCAGTCAGTAGGTGATTGCTGTCAGTTATGAGCAGGGTTTAAATTGGGCCGGGGCCGTCCGGGGCACATAGACTCCAGGGCTCGACATTAACGCAAGACAAGTAACCTGATTAAAACATCAATAACCAAAAATAACTAGGCTATCACCATAACGCAAGTATTATTCTGATTTTATTACATTTAGACTAGAGTAAGTGGCGAATAGCAGATATAGTAATTGAATATAATGCATCTATTGACAGTATAAGGTTGCGCTACTGAGGCAAAGCTCACGCAGCCTCTCCAGGAGAAATAAAAACGCGCAACACTTAAGAAACTCAGCATGCTGAGGTAAAAATTCTAAATGAAAAGTTTTTATATTTAAAATACAGTTAGTTAGGTAACATCACACAACATTTTCATCATTACGACTGTTTAATGGTTCAATAAACAGTTCAATAAGCAAGTACAATAATATTAGGTCACTTACATTTTAGGCGGAAACACAGCGCATCTCACAACAACCAGCCGATTCATTGCTGACTGATTGTGTTTTGAACGAATCGGTTGGTGTGTGTGTGTGTGTGTGTGTGTGCGTGCGCGCGCGCGTGCGTGCGTGCGTGTGAGAGAGAGAGAGAGAGAGGGTCACATCACAGTGGAGTCAGCTGTCTTAACCGTGGCTTGTGTACTGCAAACACATAATGTACAGTATTTGAAAAATTTGTTTTTTGAACATTAAAGCATGTCAACATATTCTGTTACACCAAATACACAAAATAATGATCTTTAAAAAAGCATCATATGGCCCCTTTAAAAGTATCATTTCCACCATCATTTCTTGTTTGTATATTAAAAAAATATTTAAAACAATCTCATAACATTATTTAATCCAGTTGTGTTTTTTCAGTGTAAATGATTTAATTTGATAACGTATCGATAAAAACAATCACATTATTATAACTGAATTTATAGATCAAATGTAAGAATTTGAAATGACAGATGAATGAGGTTAGGGGGAAAATGCCCTCTACAAAGGTAAAAAAAAAAATGCCCATGGATTAAATGAATCAGTAAAAAAAACATGCAGATTTATGTGGCACAGCTGATAGAAAACTGATGAGAATATTGCTTCAGAATAAATCACATTTAATTTAATTATAAAGTGTGTGAGTTTGTGTGTGTGAACTGTATGTATGTATGTATATGTATATATGTGTGGCCTATATACATAAGCCCGACACCCTAGAGCCCCCCCACATAATAAATCCCAATTTAACCCCTGGTTACGAGTGATTTTTCGGTTGGTGATGTGGTAATGAGAGGAGTGTTCACTGTGAATAGTGACAAATGCCTTTTTCAAGGCCAAGCCGTGGGAACGCAGTCTGTTTGCCAGACCTGCCTGCTCTTCTAGTTGGCCCGGGCACAGACGCTTTCCTCAGCACTGGCTGTAAACACTGAAGCGCGCTCCGCTTTCAGCGGGACGGGTCTCCAGGAGGTGTGCCAAGCAAGCAATGCCGGCCATGGGCACTCCTGTCTGAAAGTCCTCACTTTACTCTAGGTCTGTGAGATTTCCAAGATAAAAAGGGCATATTGATCCAAAACATCAGTATCAAGCTAGTCCAGACGCATGAAGCATCCTGCTTTGCTTTATTTTACAATATTGTGATTCAAGCTTATCAAACGCAATGGTGTGATGCTTAGGAATGCAATAAATGTCCCCCAGTTTGGTCATTTCATGTGATTTTACCTTTTTCTGCCATTATTTTCTTACCGGTCCAAACTCAGAAACAGCTTGGATTAAATCATGTCTCGTTCTTTTCCTGTTTAGGCTACGTCACCCAGCATTTCTCAGTGTGAGCGCATCTGTTGTGTAATTGTGCTAGCATGTGACTACGCCGTTAGGGTTGTGCTCACCAGTCAGGGCACACATCAAGTGTCACAATGTATGCACAGATTGAACACTTGAGCCACAGCACAAGGCATGCAGCTCTGTGGGTGCCAGAATGCTAAACGCTGGCTTTAAATGGCATTCCAGATGTTTGCAACCGCAGGAACACAAGTTCCTCCCAAAGGAGCCGATGAAGGGTTGATATCGCAATATATGGTAGCAGTACATTTCAAAAATACCACATTCACTTTAAATTTGATCTAATGTAAAATGTTAAATAAATAATGAATGAATCATCATAATAGCTGTTCCCCATAAAATATATATATAGAGAGAGAGATAATTATTAGAACTTTAATTTGTATTTTATTTTAATATTTTATTTAATTTTACATTTTTATTAAGATTTTAGAACCTCTGTGATAAGGTCATTAGTAATACTAGTGATGAGTGAGTTTTCAGTTTTCGTAACAACTAAATTGGAGTCCTGAGATTCTTTCACGTATTAAACTCAATTTCAATTCCACCCTCTTGAGGAATGCTGCTGCCACGAGCCAGAAGGAAAACACATCTGAAAACAAAATTAAAATTCCTCCCTAATAACTGAAGAACATTAAAGTCATAGCAGCTCACTGAGTATGTCTAACTTGCAAATGGCTTTCTATATTGCTGATGCTGGACTGTATCAAACCCTATTTGAGAAACACACAAACAGTGAATGCTGTTCCTTGTTACATGGCTGATATGTTTATCATATTACCATGAGTGGGTTTATAATGGCTCAGACATAGACCTAACTGCAGAAAAACAACTGTGTTGTCTTATATCTTTTTTGGAGATATTTATACTTTTAGGCAAGTTTACATGGAAAGAAAGCCAGCACACAAAAAATAAATAAATATAGTGTAAAGCAATATACTCTTAGATGATATTAAAAAGGACATATGAACTGTGCTTCACGATGCCATAGAAGAACCTTTTTGTCTAAATGGTTCCATAAAGAACCTTTAACATCTGAAGAACCTTTCTGTTTCACAAAAGGTTCTTTGTGGCGAAAAAAGGTTCTTCAGATTATAAAAAAGGTAATAAAGAGATGGTTCTTTAAAGAACCTATGACTGAATGCTTCTTTGCGGAACCAAAAATGGTTCTTCTATGGCATCGCTTGAAGCACCTTTATTTTTAAGAGTGTACCATTCAGGTATTTTGGGTTTGATTTTAATGTTTTTGAAATACATCTCTTATTCTCGCCAATACTGTATTTATTTATTAAAAAATACAGTAACAATGTTAAATATTATTACTATTCAAAATAAGCATTTTCTATTTTAATATATATTAAAAAGTAATATATTCCTGTCAAAATCTGAATTTTCGGCAGCTGTTTCTCTAGTCTTCAGTGTCACATAACCCTTCAGAAATGAGAAAAAAAAATACTGTAAAATCAAAATTCTTTTACATTTTATTCACAATTTTTTGGATTAGATTTGGTAATAATAAATAATGATAAAAATAAAAAGAAACAATAATTCCATCATTAAATGAATCAAAATACATGTCCCATTTCTCTATAGATTTTCCTGACAAGAAGTGCTGATGATCTTTAATTATGCATGAGTTCATGACATGCTGCAGTATTTCCTGGTCAATTGCATGCAGTGCTACAGTTTCCCAGCATACCTGAGCAGTGCCAGGAACTTCTGCTTCCAATCACAGGGCTTTGATGTGTACTTGACCTGCTGAGGGGATGTGGACTCCACACCATTCTTATAGCCTACAGGATGGCCTTTACTGGAAAACCCCAGAAAACCACTCCACACACTGTGTGACTGCAGATTCCAATGTTAGGAGTTCATATCCTTGGTTTTTACCATAGAAATTCCCAGCAAGCTATACCATGTTCTCATGAGATTTTGAGGTCATTAGAAAATGAGCTGTTTTGCATCCCAAGAGGAGCTAGTGTTCACGGGAACACACTCCATTCAACCCATACAGTACAGGGCTACGTTTCCCAAAAGCATCGTAAGCCATCATAACCAATGGAGCTCAACTTAGGCTTACGGTGCTTTTGGGAAACGCAGCCCAGGTCATTTACTTACATTTCATTTACTTTCAACAGGTTTTGCATTCCACCAACATAAAAAAAGCGAGTAAATAATAGCAGTATTTTATTTTTGAGTGAAATATCCCTTTAAGAGCAGGTGCTGCTAAATTTACTTGAAAGTGTTTAATTCCCATCAATGGCAAAGAGGAATTTGTTACTTCTATTAAAAACTGCACCACTGCCTGTGATTCATTAGCAAATAGCATTAGCACGCAAAAAATGAAGAGAAATGCTGAAGCAAGTCACAAGGCTCTGATAGAGTTGCACCATGTGAACTTCATCAGATTGTCTCAGTGTTGTGAATCACACAATTATCAAATGCGTTTAGCCCACTTCCTGTGTGTTTTAAATACATTCTGCCAGTCTGCTCATGTGATTCTTGTGCTTTGACAGCTTAATGCAGTTAATATAGACCCTAGAATAAGTATGAGCTCCCGAACCAGACCAAAAATATCCATTAAATATACAGGCGATTCAAGCAAGCTCTTTGTCACTGTATCTTTGCAGCAAAAATTGAGCCGGCGTTGACTTTTCAGTGAGCAGCCCTTAAGCATTACAAGCAGCGATATCCCATGAGGTAATGCTGGCGGTGCACAACGGACCATTAACTTGACCTGCCCACTCTCAAGTGAATTGAACACGCACTACATTATTCTTAAAGCAGGGTTTGTATATTATTTTATTTAACTTTTTCTTTTAACAAACAGGAAGTGGGCTAAACACATATGATATATGTGTGATTCACAACAAGACAATCTGATGAATGTTCACATGGTGCAACTCTATCAAAGCCTTGTGACTTGCTTCAGCATTTCTTTAAGTGATAATGATATTTTCTAATAAATCACAGGCAAT